CTGCCATCTCCGATAAGGCCCGCAAGCGTCTTCAGGTCTCTATTCTTCTTCAATACCTCCACAATTTTCAATTGGCTCCTTTTTCTTAGGAGTTCTCTTTTTGGTCCTTTTCTGACATTTGTATGTCATGTAGAAAATGTTGGGGCTGATTTTTCTTTCAATTATTTGAACTCCATCACATAAAGTTTGATTTTTTTCCCCCTCGTGCTACGGGATGAGGATCACATTGGCTGAGTCTATAAAGTAGGAAAAATGAGTTTTCTGGAGGTAAGTTGTAGGTCGACCAAAATGCTAAATTCCCTCTCCATGTTTAATTTGTTAGCTATTGAGTGTCTGTATTAACTGGTAGAGCTCATAATTTGGGACCTGATAGCTCTATTAAGAATGGAGTGAGGCCTCAAAATGGTTTAATGCTCTAGAAAAATAGGCGCTGTGACCATTAATAATTGCGTGCAAAATATTCTGAGTAGACATCTTGATGGGTAGGACATGAACAAGCTATTACATCCTAACTTCCAGAGGAGATATCTTTAAAGCCTAGACCCCAAAACTGAAGATTTAGTCTGGAGCATCGCGGTATAATACCTGGATGTGATACTTGAGTATTCCAGCAGAAATGAATTATGCAAGCTTAGTCTTGGATGAATCCTTGCAAGCTTGCGTTAGATGAGGGTTTGGAATTGGAACTGTCACATAAAATAAGGTAGCTTGAGATGCATCAGAAGATGTACTGGAATTGAAAATTTCAATTTGAAATGGAGATTTTAGCATTTGGTTTCTTTACCACCACAAGTGGTAGAGTGAATATATGAGGATATACCTTTTATTTGTGTATCCTCTTGCTGGGTTCTGCCCCATTTAGTCTGATTGCAGAATGAGATTTAGCAATCAATGAAGTGGCAGTTTACTAAATAAGAAAAGGCCATTTTGTCACTTTTACGTGATGCAGCATATCATGCTTTACATTATTGAAGCATTTCTCGCAAACAATTTTATATATTGACGTTTGTCCTTAAAATAGGGAATGAACATGCTTCTTACATCTGAAGAACACTGCATTGGTCGGTTGGTAGATGATACCCGTTTCCAGATATTGTCTCCAGCTGTTAGTGCTCAACATTGCAAGATTTACAGGAAAAAGGTTGTCAGCGAAGATATGGAGCATTCTGCCAACAGTTGCACTGCAGTCTTTCTGAAAGATTCAAGGTTGAACATCATTTGTGGAACTTTTTTGATGCAACTTGACACAGGAGTTTACTGTCTTATTTTGGTTCTCTGCAGCACAAATGGGACGTATCTGAATTGGGAAAAGTTGAACAAAAGTAGTCCTGAAGCCAGACTACGTCATGGTGATATTATCTCAATTGCGTTTGCTCCACATCATGGTAGAGTATCTATTTTTATAAAGTTTCTGCTTGCTTTGCTTCATATGTGTATCATTCTCGACCAAAAGATGATTAACAATTTTAGTTTGATTGGTTTACATTGGTCTTCTCCTTTTAGATTTGTGTATTCAAATCCTTGAAAGTTCTAATTTTAATTTTAAACATTTATGCAAGACTTTGATGGATAGGAAAAAGGTCCATAGTCTTAAACATGCAGTCTAAGTCGCTAGGTAAAGTTGACCAGATGAAAACAAAGCTATTATGAGTCACTANAAAAAAAACTTGATTGTCATCAATGTATTGCATATCGGAATTTGGTTTTAGTCTTTGACTTTGAGACTACACTCTACAGTAATCGTACTCCCTCCCTCTCCCCCTTCCCTCCCCGTTGACATTGTATCTTCAGGTTAAAATTCTCTACCAGGATAACATCATAACCTCCATCCCCACCACTCTGGGGATATTAATGGGTAAAAGAAAAAAGATTATCTCTTGTTATTTATTTAAGATAGAACCTAACTTTTTTCTTTATGAATAAAATTTTATTTTAACAAAAAAGCATAAATTTCTCTGTGCTATGACTGTTTGCGGAAGTTTTGTTTGGTTTTTATTGCATGATATTCTTTTACAAAAATGATAAGACTTAGTAAAATATCTTTTTCCCTGTAATGTTTGCAGAACTTTCATTTGCCTTTGTGTTCCGAGAAGTTCTCATATCTGTTTCTTCAGCTGATGCTACTGTTCAAAAGAGAAAAGCAGGTAGATTTTCTCAATGATTATGCCTTCATCGTATCTGTCATTTTGGAGCATTTCATCTAATTTTGTGTGCTGTAAGTGTATGGCATTTCATCTACTCAATGCTTTCTAGTTCACTGTTATCTGGTTTGCCACCTTGTTTTCATGGCTTTGGTCCTGAAGTGGACTTTTGAGAAGTGCTGTTGAAAATCACACATGAGGCTCTTAAGCCCTGAAACGAGGTATAGTGCAACCTATGCTTTACCTCAATTAGCAACAGTTTAATATAGGCAACAAAGCGCTATGATGTACACCAAGGTGCCACATGAGCTCCCAATCGAGGAGAATGGAAGTAAAAAATTAAATAAATCTGGTATTGGTATGTTATAACAATTGGTGAGGAAAGTTATAGATAAATATGTTATGTGATCAGAACTTACAAGTATGAAAATGGAAATTTAGCATAAGAAAATTAATCATTAAAGGCAAATGAGAAATTTATAATTGCATCTGAATAAGAAATTTATGTTTTTCGAACTTGACTGGCATGGTATTTACTTTATATATTTGATATTTCCTTTAATTGCGTTTTTTAGAATTCCTTTTTTCAGAATGTTGTTTTTTATTGCAGTTGTTTTTAACTTGCATTGCATTTATGTTTAGTTTAAATTTTTCTTCATCTGCATCTTTCTGATCTAAATTACATGCTTCAATAGTGCTTTGCAATTTAAGCTCTAGCATACCTTAGTGCATTTCTTCGCTTTTCTTTCACCTTTGACAACTCTGTTTTCGGACTCAATGTATGTTGATCTAGCTAAAGAATAAAGAATGCTTACGCATCTATTAGAAAACTGAAGGATACCCACTTATCTCGGCCCGAACTTGTTTAATTTATTTGGAATATGATTCATATTCTCGCCAACTACTTATCACACAGTGTATTTGGAAACATGATCTCCCGACTTCTTCCTGAAGACTTTGTTTTCATTAAACCATCGCAGAGGATGCAGAAATAGATGAGCGGTCCTTTTTGAATGTGCGAATTTGCCAGTTTCTGATGCAACATCTTCCTAAACTTTGGTTGAATTCTAATGATCAATCATCACATTTAGTTGTTTTTTATAAATTTGTTTTACATTAAGTATCAAATGTTTGATACCTATCATTATGATATGTTTAATGTTGTACTTTTATATCAGTTACTGTATTTTGTTTTCTATTATTGTTAAGCTGGGCAAAGGTAGCTTTATTAACTTGCTTTTGTCTTTGCTGGTTAAGAGGAATATGGTTCAGAAAGCAAAAGATTCAAGGGAATTGGAATTGGCACTTCTGAAGGTCCCATTTCTCTGGATGACTTTCGTAGCCTGCAGCGGTCAAACACGGTAGTTTTGCATTCTCATTAATCAAAGAAATTAGTTTTTCTTTTGCAGTCTTTCGAGGTCGTTGTTTTACTCCTATACTACCTTTCTGTGATTTCGGATGTGGTACTCTTTTAGGAACTGCGAAAGCAACTGGAAAGTCATGTCGCAACTATTGATTCCTTGCGCACTGAAAACCGTGCTGCTGTGGACCGTCATGAGATGGTATGTTTACTCATACAATTTTCAGAATACACAACCATTTTGAAATGCTTAATTCTGAACATAATTAGTTGTACTACTAAAAACTTAGATAGATGGGTCAGAAAACTCAGTGTTTCGCCTATGCTTGTTAGGTCAACACCTTCCAACTGTGTACACAACTTTAACTAGGAAGCTTCTGAAATTTTGTTTCTTTGCTAATGTAGTAGCATCATAAGATATAAAACTAAATCACTCCTAATACGCCATGACTTTTCTCATTTTAGAAAAGAGTAGTGCAATATGCCTAAGAAAAGCTTTATACACCATGAAGAAGACTGTCATTCGAGACAGAAGCTGTGTAAGAAACATTTTAAGGTGTGAATTATATTTTCTTTTCTTTAAAATCTTTTTGCTTTCGTTGCAGTTTCAAATTTTTGCACCTTTGGAATGTTAAGTAATATTTTTGTTTCTAAGATCTTGCACCTTTTGATTGAATAACATTTGCTTTCCAAATCCTTTCATCTTTTATAGGGTGAAATGATTTGTACTAGTATGTAGTACCAGAGATTAGAAGTAGGACCAGACAAAATACTGTCTTCTTCAGAGTCTGTCTGTTTTTGAAAGTACAGTGTGACCTACAGAGAAGTTGTATATTCTCTGCTGCAAACTATTTATTCTGGAGAGCTGTGCGGTGTCTGAAACTTTCGATAATTTGAATAATATTTACCTTAAAATCTGTCGGATTCCAGTGCATCCAATTCTGATGATCAAAGATTCTAGGTATGTTTTTTGGAGAAAAGATGCTAGGTATGTGGAGGTAGGAGGGAGGATGTTATAATAAACCTTGACATGGTGGTCCATCTGTTGGTGTGAGTAAATGGAAATTGATCAGTCTTCCCTGATTGACTCCTGTTTCTTGTGTTGTCTTATGGTTTTTGTCCCACTAGTCTTATGGTACGCGCGTTGCGCGTGTAACCTATCTAAATGAGTATAAAGTTTTTACAAAACCATATAAACGATATTTGAATTATAAAGTAAAAGTGTAATTTATATTTAAAAAAATATTGATTTTATATAACTGACTCAATAAAGAATATCGATTTATACCTTCTTTAATTATGTTTTCTTTTTCTCTTTTAACTGTTTCATTAGATTGAGCTCATATGTTGTTATATCTTAAGTCTTTGCAAAAGCTTCCAAATTCTAATCTTCAATTTTTGAAGACTTAAAATAAGATCTACAGTTTTATTAGCAGATTTCCAACGTACGTTTATATGCACTTTATCTAAGACATATATGAAAAAAGTCATAATTACTTTATATAATTCAAATAAGCAAAAGATTTATAATTAATTTTCTATTTGGTTTTGAATTCCTAACAATTAGGTGTTTCTATACATATGTAGTTCAAATAAGGTAATATTTAATAACTATAATTTTAGATTATTTTAAAATCCTAAATATTAGGAGAATAACTAAATTACGATTATATCTAATATATAACCTATTTTTAAAGGGTAAAAAAGGCGAACGACATTTCGCTGAAGGCCTTCGTGCTTTTAATATAGTATAGATACTTATTGGTTGACAGATTCTATCCCTCCACCTGTCTCAGTGAGCTTTCCTTTGTCTTGCAGGAAATGAAAGAATTGAGGGAATCGGTTTCTAAACCATACCTTGAAGAACTCAAAGAATTACAGCAGTCATTGGAAGCCAAAGAAAAGGAGTTAGTTGAATCAAATAGAATATCTGCAGAGCAGAATCATGCTTTGGAAAACCTTAATGAAAGACTTGGTGCATCTGAGCAATCCTGTGTTGAAGCCAATGAAATAATAAGCAGGTAATGGCTCTAGTATGCCATTGATTTAATTATGAGGAATCATGAATGACATTGTGCTTTCTCGTTTTTCTTTTCCACTTCCTCTACTAGTAAATAAGCTCGAAAATCCCAAGTTCATTATTGTTTACCTCCTCCTTGCAAAGCTTATACTACTTTATTGTCAATCTCCTGGTGTTTATTCTTTGGCAACACACTGCCTTCTGAATTAGCTTACGATCATTTTTAGGAAGAGTGAGTTAAAAGTTTGAAGTGGTGTTTGCTTTTTCAGCCAGAAAGCATCAATTTCAGAACTGAAAGCTTTGCTTGATGAGGAGCGTGAACAGAGGAAAGAAGAACGTGAAAAGGCTGCTTTGGATGTAAAAACCTCTATACAGAGAGTGCAGGCTGAAGCCCAGGAGGAAATAAAACGGCTCTCAGAATCTGCTGTCAGACGAGAAAAAGAGCAGCAAGAAATTATTAATAAGCTTCAGGTAGAAATTAACATATACTATGCAAGAGAATTTTAGAATGTCCCATTGCTCTTTCTCATTCAGCTCATAATGTCAGGAGTCAGAGAAGGAAAGTTGTTCACTGGTGGAAACTTTGAGATCCAAGTTGGTAATATTGTCTAACCTACCTTTTACTTACTGTAAGACACCTTGGCTCCTAATTCATTAGCTTGTAACAGGAAGACACCAGGCAGAAATTGGTTATTTCTGACAACAAAGTTCGTCAGCTTGATGCTCAAATTCGTGAGGAGCAATTATCTTCTGCCTGTAGGAAAAAAGTAAACATCTGTTGTCAAGATATCAATTCCCTTTCAGTTCCTTGCTTGAGAAGCTGACATCTTGCATCTTCTAATTTTTCATAGAGAATAGAGGAACTTGAGCATGAGAGGAAAATGTTGAGCAAAGAGCTTGAAAGTGAAAAGGTAGGATGACCATAAGAATTTCTGGCATTAATTATTGAAATTTGGATCTTGAGATATTCCCCTTTGTTCGCTACTCGATTGAGCCCCTTGGATGTGGAAAGGAAAGATAAATAGCCTACTTCTCTTTTTGTATGATATTTTTTTTGATAAGGTAAATTGTATTAATCAAAAGGGAGAAAAAACTCCTGTATACAAGAAGTATACCAAAAAGTAGAGAATTTACATCAAAACATGATTCTCTACAAAAGACGCCCAGTCTTCTATACAAGTAGGGGCTATATGAGCGCACCAAAAGTGATCAAAGATAAAAGACTATTCTTTTGTATGATATTTTCGTATTTATGTTTGATAATGGGAAGAAATGAAAGCTGTCTCGTGCCTTGCTGGAAGTGGATCTGTATTTGTTCTTCAAATTTTATGTATGTGCTGGAAAGAATGTCAAATATGAACTCTGATCTTTTCTTTCTTTTCTTTTGTTCTTTCTATCAATTCTTTTGCTGTCGGTAGCAGGCAGCTCGGGAAGAGGCGTGGGCCAAAGTTTCTGCTCTTGAACTAGAGATCAGTGCTGCAATGCGGGATCTTGATTTTGAGAGGCGCAGACTGAAAGGTGCTAGAGAAAGAATAATGCTACGGTAAGATGTAAACTGTATGGCTGGTACTAATGTTAATTAGGTTTACCGGTTTGAAGAAATGTAGGATATTTCTTATTTATCATTTACTATTTGTTAAGAACACTATTTTTAAGATCTTGTCTTGTGTATCTAAATGGAGAAGTTCGTTTGATTAAAGAAAGAAGTCTACAAACAGAATTATTTATACCATATAAGATATTACATGTATCATTTTACCCAGAGAGCATGTACATATGATTTATACAGTACTGTGCTGAGCTTTTATATTCCTCTTTATATGTTAGTCGGAGACACTAGTGTTTGCTACTGCCTTTCATTTTCTGGCATTTGCCTCTCTCCACTTATACTGGTGGTTACATGGTTGCTATGCAGAGAAACACAACTCCGGGCTTTCTATTCTACTACCGAGGAGATCTCAGTTTTGTTTGCGAAGCAGCAAGAGCAATTAAAGGCAATGCAGAGGACATTAGAAGATGAGGAAAATTATGAGAATACCTCTGTCGATATTGACCTTAATGCATACAATGGGAACATGAATGGATCCCTAGTAAGAAAGAAAGAAGTAGGAGATGGAAGTCACGATGTGACTGGAGCTGGCTGCAGTGCTGCCAACACAAGACGCGTCAGGGAATTATTTGAGTTATCAAGTGATGAAGCAAGTGCCACAGAGAAGCATGATTGCAATAACAGAAGCGAAGAAGGGGGACAAGACACGCAGGAGGTGGAATTTGCTGGTGCTGAAAGTGAGGTGAAGGGTGGATTTGGTTCTGAAGTCGATGGTGTTGGGACAGCACCCATTGAGGGAGATGCTGTGGGAACTGAGCTAGTCCCTGAAAGTGATACTGCTGGTGTAGCAGCCAATATGGAGGGTGACCTTGTTGGAACGGAACACGTGCAAGAGACTGAGAGCTTGGGAATCAATGGTGAAAGGAATATAGATTTAAACAAGTTTTGTGCTTTAGCTGGGAACACAATGCAGCTGGATGATGGAACTCCAGGGAAAGAAGCTCAGGTGCAGAATCCTGCAATTTGTGATGAGAGTATGCCTCCTTCCCCAGAAAATAATCTCGCCGAGGATGATAACGTGATTGAAGATACTGAAGCTGAAGGAACCATCAGGACAGCTGATCTTTTGGCTTCAGAGGTAGCTGGGAGCTGGGCGTGCAGCACGGCTCCTTCTGTCCATGGTGAGAATGATACTCCTAAGAGTAAAGACAACGATGCATGCCCTGCAGCTTTACAAGATTCAGGTGCTCCAGGGGGTGAGAGTCAATGCGCTACATCTACTTCCAAAGCTCCTTCTAGATGGGATAATGATCGTAAAGCACTGAGCGAGATGATTGGAATTGTTGCTCCTGATTTGAAGGAGCAATTCAGTCATGCAGTTGGTAGTGACTGTGATGAAGGAGGCGCTTCTGATTCTGCTACAGAAAGTTGCACTGACGATGAGGATAACATAATGAATACTGAAGCAGCATCTGACGCAGAGACAATTGACGGTGAGAAAGTGAATGAGGATGCGATGGAAGAAGATGATGAAGCCACCCAAGAAGATTCTGTTGGATAGCTGGCATGCATGTGTATTGAACTGGGTATTGTTTCTGGTTCTTCTAGTTAGGTTCGGGATTTAGAAGCATAAGATTACCATGGGTCGGAAGCCACACGCCAAGCTTCCCTAAACAGGAGGAAGGGGAGACTCGTGCTCTGATATCAGATCTCATACTTATCATTTCAGACGGCTTGGATCATGTACAGAAGGTAGCCAGGTAGTGTATCTCTAAACTTTATGTAGTCACTTCAAAATGTCAGCGTGAAGTTTTTTATTTGTATATATTTAGAGAACTTTCTAGAACTAGAAATCTTGGTTAGGCTAAGTCAATGTGCATTAGGTGTTGATTGTTTGCTTGGCACCTCTCAAGTAAATTCTCAAGAGTGTTGACCAGCTTATTCTTTTTTTAATATTTTTTTATTGTTAAGTTTTCCCCAAAGTACACAAGGACTTGGTGGTCATGTAATAGTTTTGGTCGTAATTAAACTTCACCGCCAAGAATTTTAGTTTTTTCCCAAGGAGTTATAAAGATTGAGTGCCTCAACTCCTGTGTAAGCTAAACATGTGAAATGAAAGGGCATTACTTGAATGCGTAGTGGGGTACTACTGCAAGTCCATGTGAAGAAACGATCAAAAGATTGTATGAATATTCTCTTCCTTTCTGCTTTCTCTTAAGATGGTTAATGTCCTCTTCTAATTTACAACAATGCCCTTAGTGCAACAAGTTTTTAGAGAGTTCAAGGGAAGATTGTATTGGTCAAAATTTGACCGTCACGACCGAGTTGACCGACGCTCCGCCTAATTAACCTGGCAGTGGAAGTTAATAGAGCCCACTCCATTTCTCCTCTTTGACATCTGACGAGTCGGTAGAGGCACGTAAAATCATGACGAAGACACATTGGTGGCAAGAGGACGTCGAGTCAAGCAAAGGGCAAAGGTGTCTTGATTATATATAGCCAAGGAAAGCTTTCAACGATGGGGCTGCTCCTGATATCTCTCTCAAATGAGCAAAAAGCTCTCTTCTTGCATTTTGGATAGAGGAGAAGTGGTCTGTGGAAAAATGTGTAAATCTGCCTCCCCATCGATTGATGGGAGAAACAACATTGAATCTTAATAAGATCATTCATATTTCTTTCATCTTATATATGATCCTTACTGCTAGCTCTTTGATCTGGAATTAATTATGTCTGACTAAGATTTCCCTTCATCTTTGATTGATCTGTTCAAAAAAGTTTTAATATCTTTTGAGTCAAACAATTTGGCGCCGTCTATGGGGATTTCTTAGTGAAATTTCCTAGTTTATCCCAGATCAAAGCCAAGAAACACAATCACCCACCAAAAGAAGCGCGAAGGGAAAATCCAACCCACGCTAGACAAGGGAGCAACGCAGTAGGGGAAGGAGAGCCAAATAGAATTACCAAGCTTAGAAATCCTCGCCCCATCAACCATCGATATACCAAACAAGGCAAACGGTGTTACCAACCTGTTCTCCCCCACCGGTCCACCGGACGGGAGCGAGGAAAATATCCTTCTCACCTCCTACTTTTTGTCCAGGCAAGCACATAAGACTCGCGCGGGCGAACGCACAAAGGAACATCTCGATTAAAGGACAAATTGCTTCAGCACAACCAACATACCTCCCGCCGGCGACGTCTCTGAGCCGGACGACAGGAGTCAGACAAGAAAACTATAATGCGTACACAACACGAACCTAAGCGAAACGTCAATGTCTCGTATTCATCGGTATTGCACCTTCTGATGCAAGCAATATCAAACGGACTGGGACTCCCATGGAAGATGTCCAACTCTACAAAAAACTGGGACTGACGACGGGCTGTGTAGGCATATAAATTTTATTAAAATTAAATTCATAAATAATTTGGGTTATATTTTAAATTCAAGATATATTAATCCAAATAAATACTACGGGCTAATTCAATTGAATTAATTATATAAGTCCAATATATATGGATTAAATAAATAAGTCTTAATATATTGGGTTAGCCCATTTAATTGGACTAAAGTGATAAGCCCACTTTATTAAGCCCAAAATCTCATCTTCCTAGAGGCCTAGTTTGGTGCCACGTGTCAAATGGCGTGGCGCGCCAAGTCAAACGGAAGAGCCAATAGGGTCATGCCACATGTCAAAATGACAAGGCATGCCAAGTCACACTAAAAGGCCAATGAAATCGCGCCACGTGTGCAAATGACATGTTCTGGACAATCAAATGCGGCCATGTCACACTTCAATTTGATTGGTCGGAAAGAGTTTGTTCTTATCATAACTCTTCCCTTCCACAACTATAGATAGGGGTCTTCATAACTCAGAAAAGACACCAGAAGTTATAACAAGAAGCAAGAGAGAGCTCGTGGATCAAACGTCGCAAATTTCTCTACAAGTTTCAAGCTTCAAGCAATAAAGTTCAAGTTCAAGAAATCAAGTTCAAGCTCAAGAACGAAGAACGGATCAAGATCAAGTTCAAGCAGTCAAGCTCAAGCTCAAGCTCAAGAACAAGATCATCGTTCGTGGAAACAAATATAGATTCAAGATCAAGCTCAAATGCCCTTGAATTTATTTACTATTGGAATGAAGGATCAGAGGATTCATAGAGGTTGTAACACTCAAATTACTTGAAATCAAATACTACGATTGTTGCGATATTTTTCGGTCTTGATTTTATTTTCTTGACGTAAATTTATTGTCTACAAATTCTGGCACGCCCAGTGGGACTAGTTCTGCCCTTCATCTCTTCCTCCTATCAATCTGAAACTACAAATTTCGAATCAACTGTGGCGATGATCTTCAAAATGAGAATAGATCTCAAAATGACCACAATCTCTGGGGGCAATATTTCTTGTTCCCTATCAAACTAGTTCTTAATCAAAGCCAGAAAAAAGTGCTTGTAGGACGCGCCTCGCAAAAGCTGCAAAATCACAAGGATGGACGTAAAAAAATAAATGGTTATCCTTCACCGAAGCCACAACGTTGCAAAGCAAAACTCCAAAAGTTAATCTTTCATGAAAGAATTCAAGTTGAGCGGTTCTTTACAAGGAAGAAAATAGTACAGAATCCTTGTAAAACAAGGAACCAAGTTCCCTGCCATTTATTGTGGATGGAATATTTTTTGTCGTTGAAATTATTTCTCAAATACAAATTCGGTGGATAATCGAAGAAAGATACGGTCAAAAAAATAAGTCCACGTGAAGACGAAGAGGTACATACTAAAATATTGTCTAGTACTTCAAGTTTCGGCAAGCCTACACCCGACAAACCTTGAAGTAGGGGGCATTTGTAGACATCGAAACTTTAAAGAATCAAGCCAAATCCTAAATTAAAGATACTGCAGGACTCTTGAAATCCTAGGAGTCTATTAGGGTTTCTTGGAGGTTACTCTACCCTAAACCCTAACTCATATCTATATAAAGGGATATATATTCCCTTGAAGAGACATCTAAAAAATCCCATAAATCTTGGGATATTCACAAAGGGATCAAGACATAAAATAATGCCGTGATTAATAGATGTTCTTCTTGATAATTAAGTACTTCAAGAAGAATATTCATACAATGATCGACTTGCATGGAGATTAAATAATCCAGAGAGGTCCGTATCATCCTACGTTCGAGAATACGCTGATCTAGCCCTCAAATCATGGAGAACAATTTAGAGGAAGAATCAAGGAGCAAACAGAATTGTACCCGCATCATTTTATCAATAAAATTATGTTTCTTCATACTTATATTGTGGTTGCAATTTATTTTTTGTATCACATATAATTTGTTGTAAATAAATTGAAACATATTGCCCCAATTGTTGTCCGAGTGAAGTATGGAGGAATGCAAAATCAAGCTGAAACGCCATCCTCTTGTTGAACTTTGATCTCATTTGATTTAAAAGGGGCAACCCTCTATAGTAAATTGATATCTTCAATGGGCCGATTTTAGGAGGATGTCAAGTATTTGCATTGAAGGCCAGGGATTCTCTATGTCTTCAGGTTAGCCAAACCTTCAAGTTTTTGGTCTCCAAGTCCGCCCGCTGCCTTAACAAAAAGGGGAAGAGAAGAGAGGCGTCAAAAGGAAACACAATTATGAGGAAAAGATTGATTGGCACAACATTTCAAATTCAGTGAGACTTGAACTCAAAATATTTGTGAGAATATGGCTCTTAAATTTCGATTGATGGCAAGTAAGACATCTTCCGATCTCGAGGCTTCTATACCAAGATGCAAAAGTTTTAGTGAAGTCGCACAATCTGAAATCGTCAGCGTGTCAGAATTTTGCGTTGAATTTGGAATATTATCTGAAACTATCCTTAAGGTATTAAATTTTGTATTCTGGATATGATTTAAATTTCGAAGTTTGGTTTCCGAAAAATCAAACGGTTCATAATTTCGACGTTCCTACACCAAGATATGAATTTTTTTGTGTGTGAAATTTTCAACATGGTGAAATCTAAAGTTGGTTTCAAAATATTATCCGGCGCGATTCTGAAGGTTTTTGATTCTAAGTATTGGATATATTTTAGATATTGAAGTCATCAAACGGTTCATTATTTGAACTCTCCCACGACAAGATATGAATCTTTTGTTACAAGCGCGTAAAGCTAAAAATTATGCGACTGAAATAAAAGTCAGACATGTAAAGCAAAAGAGAAGCTGGAATATTTAAGCCCTCGAAGTCTCCAAGTTGAAGTCTTCAAGTCCGTCGGTATTCAAGTTGAAGTCCCCAATCTTCAACTCCGTCGGTCTTCAAGTTGAAGTCTTCAAATTCGCCGATCTTCAAGTTGAAATATTTAGGCCCTCCAAGTCTCAAAGTTGAAGTCTTCAAGTTCGTCGGTCTTCAAGTTTCAGTCTTCAAATTCGTCGGTCTTAAAGTTGAAATATTTAAGCCCCCAAATTGAAGTCTTCAAGTCTTTCAGTCTTCAAGTTTCAGTCTTCAAATTCGCCGATCTTAAAGTTGAATTGTTTAAGCCCTCCGAATCTTCGAGTTGAAGTCTGCAAAGTCCGCCAAATCTTCAAAGTTCTCCAAGTGTTCAAGTCGATGTCGTCTTCAAGTTGAAGCTTTATAACTTTCCAATCTTAAGGTGGACATATAAGTCCTTTTGCACCTTAAGTTGGCCTCTACGTGGGTTTGTCCTTAAAAGGAACTATAACTTTCCAATCTTAAGGTGGACATATAAGTCCCTTTGCACCTTAAGTTGGCCTTTTAGTGGGTTTGTCCTTAAAAGGAACTATAACTTTCCAATCTTAAGGTGGACATATGAGTCCCTTTGCACCTTAAGTTGGCCTCGCTGATAGTTAGGTCGTTTTGAGAGTAATCTCTCCGATAGTCAGGTCACATTGAGAGTAATCTCTCCGATAGTCAGGTCATTTTGAGAGTAATCTCTCCGATAGTCGGGCCGTTTTGAGAGTAATCTCTCCGATAGTCAGGTCATTTTGAGAGTAATCTCTCCGATAGTCGGGCCGTTTTGAGAGTAATCTCTCCGATAGTCGAGCCACATTGAGAGTAATATCTCCGATAGTCGAGGCACATTGAGAGTAATCTCTCAGATAGTCGGGGCACATAGTAATCTCTCCGATATTTGGGCAG